TTCTTCGACCACGATGTCGAAACTCGTCTCCCGCTCGTGTATCAGGGGACGTGTCATCGTCGCCGCTGGCACTTCCATGACGACCGTTCCCACCCTCAATAAGGCTCAATTCCAGCCTAGAAATGGCACCACTCGCAACCACACAGCACCCAACACCGCTCTTCACTGATCACCGGAAATGGCGGAGAAAAATGGCGGACCTTTGGCGCGTTCCTGATGCTTCCAACGAAGAATCATTGAGGAATAATATGGTTCTACTCGGGTGATATCAAGAGTATTTTGAAAGAATCAGGTAAAGGAAGCATAACAGAAGAATATGAAAGCATCTCAAGGGAATATGAGCCTCCCTGTGATTCCGGCAAGATACCCTCTGGGCAATGAAAGGGTATATTGCAAGAATAGATAGAGAATCATTAAGGCGTAACTATCAGCGACTGGGGTATCAACAGCATCTTATACGCACGGAATCATGCAGAATCATTTGGGGTATCAATGGCATAATATGGTTCTCACAGGGTGATATCAAGAGCTTATTAAGAGAATCAATAATTCATGGAGGACGAGGGAATATCATGGGAATATGAAGCCAATTGCGATCCCATGAATATACCCCATAGGTATAATGAAGAGATCAAAAGGGAATAATTGGGGTATAGACTTCAATGATCAGGGCATCAGGAGATTCATTTTGGTTTTCAGTGCTCCCTACGTCACGGCCCTCGTCATCTCACAATGGGAGCAAGGGCGGCGCCACCGTGGGGGCAGTGGGGGCAGACTGCCCCCACTGGCGGGAGGCCGTGGGGGCAAGACTATGTTTTTGCCCCCACAAAATTTGGCTGATGTATGGGAACAGAAGACCCGTGCAACATTCATTATAGGTGGTTATAATAGTACGCCTGTTTTTGACGGTCCTCGTATCAAATGCGTCAGCAGAACGTTCGTTCTCGGACCGTCTGTCGCATATCTCCTACTCCCACTCATTCTCCTACTCATTTTCATTCACCAAAAGGCTGCCCTCGAGCTTGATCTCGAGGAGGTTGAGAAGCAGTTTATCAAAAGTCGGCCAGAGAAGAGATCACCCTCTTTTGGGAACCCTTAGACTGAGACTGAGCTCAGAGAGGTATGACAAAATGTGATAGATATGTATATCCCGGGTTATCTGGAATTGTATGTGGGTCGCCCTAATGGAGCTTATTCTCGTACCTTTATCAATCGTATGTGAGAGAATCGCACATATATACATACTATTGGTGCCAATCGGAATTTCTTTTCTTGGAATTCCAATTTTTGTCCAATTCCAATTTGGAATTTGGACGGAATTCTTAACATTTTTTGGAAATTAATCGGAACACAAGGCCTTTAAAATTTAAAATATTAAAACGGAGGCCTTTAAAACGCTTTTAAACACTTTTAAAATTTACGCAAAAAATGCAAAAATCGTTAAAAATTGGAATAGCCCCCGCTTTGGACAAAATTGGAAATTTACTTGGCAATTTCTTGGAATTGGATCGGAATTGGAATTGAAATTTCATGAAATTGGCACCACTAATACATACGCACTACGGGGAAAAGGAGAAATAGGTACTGACTATAGTTTTGAGGAACACACCATTTTACATCTCAACGAACAACAAACGTTTTCACAGGTTTGTGTCTCGCAATCTAGTTTTATAGTTTTATTTCGGCCGGGCCCGGTGGTAATCCTTACCACCCCAGCCCGGGGTAGCCCTCCCCCCCTGTTTAACTCCGTTAATAAGGCAGCTGCGGAAACAAAAATGGTACCAAACGAAAAGTATATATGTGAAGATTTTAAAGCACCTAAACTTTTTGACCTAAGGTCAGTTTTCAAGGTCAGAATTCAAGGTCAAAGGCAAAAACCGGCATTTATGTAGTGGTCTCAAAGTACGTGTTCCAGAGGACGGCATGGTGCATAAAATCGGCTAAAAGGGGTGTTGAACAAAAGAAGAGAATCTGTGGATTCCGATGATGTGCATAACATTCAAATTCAAGGTCACGATCATGCTCAAAATTGACCACAAACTTTGCACTTTTTCTTATATCTTGTATACTAAATTGCGAGATGTTTTGATATGTTTTCAAGCTTAGCGGACCCCTATTTGTGCTTAAGCTTACGATACAAGGCTGCTACAAGGTCGAAGTCACAAGAGAGTATCCTTGCTAGAGGCTATTTCACTATTCAAGTCAGGCATAATAATTAAGAGATGTTTTGCCATACTGATGCTCTAAATGAATGCTTACAGCAAAATGGATGCCAGAGGTACAGAATCGTGATCACCGGCTACGAAATCATCACAAATGACCTTCCATGTGTAAAAAATCAACCAAATCCCAGTAAACATGCCGACGTCGGCCCGACGTCGGCCGACGTCGGGGTGACGTCGGCAACTCGGCATCGGCATGTCGACGTCGGCCCGACGTCGGTCCAACCTCGGCACGACATCGGCTGGATGTCGGATATGCCCGCATGTTCCGACGTCCAGCCGAGGTCCAGCCGACGTCGGGCCGACGTCGGACCGAGATCAATTGCTGAGGTCCAGCCGACGTCGGGCCGACGTCGGGGCGACGTCGGACCGACATCGGCCGCTGTTTTGACCGTTAGAATAATATAAAATACATGTTTCATGTTTCATAAAGAGCTTCTGTATTCAAAATATCCTCAGAAAACTCAAATCTTCCTCCACGCCGCAACCCCCTGATCCGGACTGGACGGGAAACTTTATCCCATTTGGGATTGCCCGTAAGCCGAGCTCGCCCGTAGCCGGGTGCGGTGAGTGCTTGGGGGCTGCTCGGCCTATCCTTTGGTCAGGCTCAGCCACGGCAACTCACCAGGGCCGGGCCCAGTTCATATAGAAAGGCCAGTCGGCAAGTGTCACTTTGCCAAAGTGCCACTAATCAAAGGGACACTTTGGGAAACGTTGGTGCAGGTGTGTAAGAGTGGCTATATGAATCCATTGTGGGGTCGCCCTTTCCAATAAGTGTCACGTAACAGCAATGGGACCAGGGACTCTATATGAACTGGACCCAGGGTGCTCGCTAAGAAGACCAATCATCCTTCCGGCTCTGAAATGGTCTTGTCAGACCGAAAGGGCATAACCCAACAAAACAAACTGAATTCGCTATCTGGCTGCGTGGTGTAGTGGCTAGCGCACTAACCTCGCGTTCAAATGACGATGGGTTCGAATCCCATCACCGGTTGGTGCTTTTGGCGTGTTGTCCCAGTAAACATGCCGACGTCGGCGACTGGGGGGCTCGAATCCCGCCGCCGGTTGATATTTTTGGCGCGTTGTCCCAATAAACATGCCGACGTCGGCCCCGTCGGTCTAACGACAAACGATCTCGTCAACCTCGGCAAACGACCTCGGCCCGACGTCGGCTCGACGTCGGCTGGACTTCGGCTGGACGTCGGAACATGCGGGCATATCCGACGTCCAGCCGATGTCGGGCCGAGGTTGAACCGACGTTGGGCCGAGCCTCGGCCCGACGTCGGGCCGACGTCGGCATGTTTACTGGGATGTCATTCGAGGTCACATGAGGTCAACATAAAACTTGACCTTTTCCAAACAATATATATGTCATTCGACGCGTCTCGAACAAGACTAATGCGAAGGTACCACTGCCGTAGCTCCAGGACCATTTTTGTTGAAGTTATTTGCGAAAAAAGAAACTAAAGCCCCAGCTCGGGGTCGTTGCCCTGACCTCCGACCTCAGGTCACCAAAGTCACTTAAGTTTTTTTAAAGTCAAATGCTACACAACCGTGCTCGTAATTTGTCTTTATCTCTAAAACTCAATTTTTGGCAGCTGGTTGAAGTTCACGTCTGTGACGCCGAAGTTTGCCGTGCAGGAGTCTAGAAAAATCGGCCTTGAGACATTATCAAGGAGGTTAGTCCATTTTTTTTGCTTCAAAAGATGTCAAATTAATGGGGGATAAGGTACAGCAAGTTTCGTCTTTCTATCCCTAAGCGTTCGTGAGGTATCGCAAATATTCGCCAGGGGGAGGCGAAAAAACGCCCCCCTTCCGGGCCCGCGAGGGTTAATGGTTAAACTCAATGCGCCTATGCATGAGACCTGAAACCAAAATAATTTTGAATGACAACATCTAGGGACAAGGTGCTAATGGATTTTGCAGATCGGCGTTATCAGACAACAGTCGGGTCAGTCTCAAGCTTGCCCCCACTGGCGAAAATTCGTGGCGCCGCCACTGAATGGGAGTCGTAAACTCGGGTGATCGGGAGAGCCTCCACCGAGAAGTCGGTAGGAAACACACCGGTATGTAATTTGTAAACAGTAAGCGGCGGGCGGGCAAACAATGAAGACACGTGTCTTCGTTTCGTGCATCGAATACGTAAGCGGAAATGCGCAGGAACAAAAACATCACTATCAGAGACCCTGAGACGCCTTCCCTCCCTCCCTCCCACCCTCTCTCTCTCTCTGCTCGATCCCGCTAGTCCAGTGTCGAATTGGGGGTCGTAGAATGGCGAGCCAGTAATGATCACGGAACTGTTGTCAATCAACAAAACCTAGATCAAGCTCGAAAACTTGTGCGGCCTGGACATTGGGCCGAAGCCCAAGGCGTGTCGCTCCCCCTTATCCCAAACACAGACGTCCTACCCGGCGGCTGGGGGCCGGGGAGGGGGGGGGGCGGACTGGTCACCGCTGATCAGCCGGCCCCGCGCCGCTGCGATAACCTTGTGATAGTCCGGGGCCGGCTACCCATCACGGGGGTACGGCCGGAGCCGCCGCCGACCGGGTGACACGGCACCACTGTGTCACCGCACCGGCAAGGACAGGTGACGCGACTGACACGACTGACACCGAGCCGCTTCCGGATTCCGCCGAGTGTCACTGCCTGGAACTCAGACTGACAGGTAGGCGCTTAAAATAAATCCATCGCCAGTGACGTATCCATTATCCCAGAAGGCCGCACTCGCCGCTGTTGCATAACCCATCGATTCTCCGTCCCCAGTGAACATACCGAAGGTAATATTGGACACGTATATTCCGACCAGAAGCTATACCGATCCTAAACAGCTGAGATCGCAGAATACAACCCGAGCCTGACCTGACCTGGCTCCGGTCTGTCGGTCCTCATCAGCACACTCGCCCCTATCACTCAACCCTAACCCCAGCCAGCACAAACTCTCAGACGTGAAAAAAAAAAAAAAATCACGAAGAAAGCTCCAGCCCCGGTCCAACGCACGGCGGAGGCCGGTTATGGCGAATGAAGAAGCTCCACTGTGACATCCCGGGTCCCCACACATGTTCTGACGCAGACAGGAAACCACAGGCACACCGCACGGAGTTAAAAGAAATGCCCGAAGAAATCACCTTACACCGTCATTTCATGAAATAGCCAGCACAATCTTTGATAAAGGAAAATCTGCATTTTCTCGTAAACTCACACACACAACCTGCCATGGCAAATACGATACCGTAGGCGACTCATCACAGTGCATATACAAAACAGCAGCGTACATTAGTGTATAGACAGCACGGCTATAGCTGGCACACCGACGACTAAATAATGACCTTGTGCTGACGCGTCACAACCTACGCGTCCCAACGGACAGTGGGAAGCTGACACCCATAAAGCGAAATAAATAGCATAAATAACCTCCTTAGCGACGGCGTGAAGTGACGGCAGCTTAGCAGCCTGCTGTCTTTATAGGTCTTAAAAACGTATTTATCGGTAGATCGTTAGCGACGTGATGGCTCGCCCCCGGCCGCTGCTGCCTCCGTAAATAGAATCATACTCTGTGCACGCGATATAAAATGCCACCCACGTCTGTGACTGCTGCTGAATTAACTTCCCATAAATGCCGACCCTGCGCCGAGTTCCCTTCTCTATCAAATACCACTGGAACGCATTAGAGAGATACACTTGGACCGAGAAGCCGCAGCACTGACACTGTAGGCTATCGATCCAATGTGTGCTCGGTATCCAACCAAGATTACTTTACTACTCTATCCAACGACCCGGCGAAAATATGGCAGCCCTCCCGCTGCTTGGTGGCAGCTCGGACTGCCGCCTGCCGACTGACCAGTCCTGACTTGACTTAGTAACTCCATCACTCCTCCCAACCCTCCCGTCCAGCACACATATCTTCCCGTCCCGCCCCTCCCGCTCACACGTCGTCGAAGATGCCTCTGGGCGCTGCGGGCCGGCCGGTGCGGCTGTAGCTGAAGCCGTCGTCTCCGACGCGTCCGACGCTCTCGACTTCGGGCTCGGTCCAGGAGTCGCGTGCCGGCCGCTCCCGGCCCGGGAACGGCGGATCGGGCGACCCGAGCAGCTCCAGCCGCGCCGACTCGCCCGACTCCGAGCGGGGCAGGAACGAGCGCACTGCGGGCGAGAGAGGTAACGATCAGAGCGGGGCAGGAACGAGCGCACTGCAAGATAAGGGAGGGGTTAGAGCGGGGCAGGAACGAGCGCACTGCGGAGGAGGAAGGGGTGGTTACAGACAGGAACGAGCGCATGCAGATGGCAGAGGGTGTCAAAGGAAAGAACGAGCGCCTGCCGGAGAGAGAGAGAGAGAGGGAGGGTTAGAGTCTGAGAGAACGAGCGCAATGCCAGGGGAAAGGGAGAGCCTTAGAGACAGGAACGAGCTCACTGCTGGGGGAGGGGGGTTAGAGCGGGACAGGAGCGAGCACCCTGCTGGGGAGAGAGGGAGGGGCCAGAGAGGCGCAAGAACGGGGGGCGGGGCACACTGCGGGGGAGGGAGATGTGGATGGGGAAAGGGGAAAGTCATATCAGTGATCATTACAGTCAACCAACTACAGATTCCCGTGATCGTAAGTATCCTCCAAATAAAGTTTCGGCAGTCGACACCTTGAAGGGATTATGGTAGGGCATTGGTGATCACTCTTCGGTCATGTGCAGGACCTATCCTGCTAAGAGTACATTGCTTGGTGCTTCAGCGACCGGAGGTAAACTGTAAATACAATACGACAGAAGCAGTTCGAGCGGAAAGGAATGCGACGTCACCCATTCACTGGAGTTTGGGGCGACACTTCGAGCTAGTGGCTCAATGGTGAAACGGGTAATAACAATGGTGGCGACACTTTTGTATTATTAGTATTTTACTGCCTAATTGGGTCCTCAGCTAGTAGGTAACTGACAAAGGATGGAGGAAGGGAACGTGAGTCACTATTAAGAAATTTGAGCCGGTCAAGTAGGTTCCGAGCTAAATACTCACTGTTGCGCCTTTTTATAACAGTTTCTGCGTCAAAGTAGTGACAATGGCAGGGAAGCAATGGTTTCAATCTACAAATATGGACACAATGTGAATTGAGTACCACGGTTCATAGAACTGCAAATAAAACGGCCGCAAGAAAAATACACCGCCAGTTCTGCTCCGCCATGTTACAAACAATACCTAACTATCCGGCAGCCTTCATTCTACTAAGTAGTAGAATGGGAGTACTCCCATTGTTGATGGAACCCGAGCCAAGCCTCCAAACTAACTATAACAGTCGACTACGCTGCCCAATGATGCGCGACTCACTGCGTTGTTCGGCGCGCTGCACGGCGGCGCGGTACGCCTGGCTGCCCCACCCTCCCCCTCCTCCGCCAGTGGGGGCGGGGTCGGCGCGCGGGGCGGGGCGCGTCTCGGCGCCGCTCTGCCGCTGCCGGCGCCGGTGCTCTCGCCGCACCAGCTCGCGGCCCTCGTCCGTCAGGTCGGTGGTGATCTCGTCCTGGTCGAGGAACTGCTGGAAGCCGAGGAAGCTGAGCAGCCGCGCGCCCAGCGAGAACCACGTGGCCAGGCAAAAGGCCAGCACGCACATGGGGAAGTAGATGTTGAAACCCTCCGACAGGATGGCCAACACGTCCATGTGGCCCATGATCTGTGGAAGACGGAGACAGAAACGATCTCAAAGGCGGGGCCGAGATCTGAGAGAGATAAGAGACGAAGAAATGCCGAATATCGAATCGAAAGATCAACTTGCAGCACTGCCAGTAGACTGGCACTAAAATAGCCAAACAAATATTTGCGTCATGATCGAATGAAACGCCATCTACACAACCAACGGGATCTGGGACCAGAGGTCGTTCACCCGATCAGTCTCCCGACTCCCATTATAACAGTACTCTCAGCTACACATTCTAGTACACAAATTGTTGTCGCCCTACTCCTCCCGGCTGCCCTGAGGGGCCACGTCACTCACCTTGGTATAAGCGGTCTCGTCCACCCTGTCCTTGATGATGTGGCTGTCCATGTGGATCATACCGAGGAAGTTGAGGCAGAGTGGTGGGGTCAGACGACACAGCAGCCTGCGGGGACAGAGGGGGGAGGAGTCAGGAGGGCGGGATGACTCTGCGAGTCCGTGAACCTATTTAAAGCGCAGGGGAAAACACATTGTCATCATAATATAGACATACTTAAAGAAAGAACCAACGAAGAGTTGTGCACAGAGAAGCATACCGTACACTCTTTAATATCGGTGTGAAGTCGTTGCACTTACATCCCGGAGAAGATGAGACTGTGCTGATCTGTCTGGTGGTTCGGAGCCAGGTAGTAGAAGTTCAACACGCGGATCTTGAATATCGTGTAGTAAGTACAGACGCAGAGGTAAGCTATTGTGAGACTAGATATCACCTGTGGAATGAAAAGGAACAGTCAACGGTCACCATTACCTGTGTGTGATCGCCGCTGAACAGAACAATGCCGCAACATCCAACTAATGAGGGAATGAAGAGTACAAACAAAAAATGTTCATGTTTATCTGGCATTGTTCTGATCGATAGACATGGGATCTAAATCATCATGGGACATGAGATCTGTAGATACCTTTTTCTCCACGGTAATCAAAGGAGACATAGCATTACTTTGTTGTACCCGGATACTGCACTTCGATATGTAAGTACCTTCATTGATAACACAAAACTACGACAAAGCCACGCAACCATGAGGAAATGATCCCGCACACCGAGCGCAAGCATGGTCAGTTTAGCATAATGAATGCGGAAAAACAGCCACACACCGACAACAACAACACGAAGTAATCGGACGTTAATTGAACAGTTAACGAACCTCAATCGCCAGATAGTCGTAGTTGGACTTTGCGGCGTTGATGAAGACTGCGAACAGCGACAGTGTCGGGCTCTTGTTGAAGAAGGTGAGCTCCGACCAGACCACCATGAAGGATGTGATGGCGCAGACCACAGAGAGGCAGCGGAGTGCATATCCGCGTAGGCGGCACTTCCAGTACCATTCTGAGGGGAAAGGCGTATAAGAGTCAGATTATATTTCCAAAACTAACTGGACGAATGACTACAGAGCTGAGGGCTATTCAATAAACTGCTAGGCTATTCGTCCATGGGCTATTCTCACTTCCTTTACCAACATCTTCCGCTGGGCCTCGGTACAGTGGTGGTACCGGTAGTTACTCTCACCTCCTCACCTCTCTACCATAGTCCATAGCATCGATTAACAATGTTATGCGTCACAAACTCACAAAATACGCATCCTGGAAATGTTCCGAAAACACCGCAATGGCACCATCACCTTACCTAGCCGCGCGCCAATAATGAGACTGGTCCAGCTGGGCGGTCGGGGAAGGCTCGGTTTGAAGTAGCCGTCTCGGTGACGCTGGTTCTCAGATACGTCCTCAAGCTCGATCACCTGACGATTTTACACAAACGGAGATAGGAGAAGGGTTAGTTCGGCTGCCTGCGACTGTAGAGTGAAATGCATATTGCATGACGTTTTAGCACTCAGCGGGGCTTCCAATACACAGCTCGGCATCTCCAAGGTTTTGCGCCACGATACAGTGTTTGTATAGAACGAGGATATCATTCTCTCTCGGTGCGGTAAAGGTACAGGGGTATCCACACCCCTCTCATTTATAAACTTACCTCCTCCACCAACATCTCGCACTGAGCCTCAGTACGGCGGTGGTATAGAGGAGCGTATCCTATTGATCTCTCGGTGCGGTGGTGGTATAGAGGAGGGTATCCTATTGATCTCTCGGTGCGGTGGTGGTATAGAGGAGGGTATCCTATTGATCTCTCGGTGCGGTGGTGGTATAGAGGAGGGTATCCTATTGATCTCTCGGTGCGGTGGTGGTATAGTGGAGGGTATCCTATTGATCTCTCGGTGCGGTGGTGGTATAGAGGAGCGTATCCTATTGATCTCTCGGTGCGGTGGTGGTATAGAGGAGCGTATCCTATTGATCTCTCGGTGCGGTGGTGGTATAGAGGAGCGTATCCTATTGATCTCTCGGTGCGGTGGTGGTATAGAGGAGCGTATCCTATTGATCTCTCGGTGCGGTGGTGGTATAGAGGAGCGTATCCTATTGATCTCTCGGTGCGGTGGTGGTATAGAGGAGCGTATCCTATTGATCTCTCGGTGCGGTGGTGGTATAGAGGAGCGTATCCTATTGATCTCTCGGTGCGGTGGTGGTATAGAGGAGCGTATCCTATTGATCTCTCGGTGCGGTGGTGGTATAGAGGAGCGTATCCTATTGATCTCTCGGTGCGGCGGTGGTATAGAGGAGCGTATCCTATTGATCTCTCGGTGCGGTGGTGGTATAGAGGAGCGTATCCTATTGATCTCTCGGTGCGGTGGTGGTATAGAGGAGCGTATCCTATTGATCTCTCGGTGCGGTGGTGGTATAGAGGAGCGTATCCTATTGATCTCTCGGTGCGGTGGTGGTATAGAGGAGCGTATCCTATTGATCTCTCGGTGCGGTGGTGGTATAGAGGAGCGTATCCTATTGATCTCTCGGTGCGGTGGTGGTATAGAGGAGCGTATCCTATTGATCTCTCGGTGCGGTGGTGGTATAGAGGAGCGTATCCTATTGATCTCTCGGTGCGGTGGTGGTATAGAGGAGGGTATCCTATTGATCTCTCGGTGCGGTGGTGGTATAGTGGAGGGTATCCTATTGATCTCTCGGTGCGGTGGTGGTATAGAGGAGCGTATCCTATTGATCTCTCGGTGCGGTGGTGGTATAGAGGAGCGTATCCTATTGATCTCTCGGTGCGGTGGTGGTATAGAGGAGCGTATCCTATTGATCTCTCGGTGCGGTGGTGGTATAGTGGAGGGTATCCTATTTTCTCGGTACGATAGTGGTATAATATTCTTACCTCCTCTACCAACATCTCCCACTGGGCCTCGGTGCGGTGGTGGTGCTGCAGGGCCCGGATCACCTGCCGATGCAGGGCCACCAGCGACTTCTGGGTAGGCATGGGCGCCGCGTCCCCGGCTCGCTGCCGGCGCTTCATCCTCTGCTGCAGCCCGGCGGGGACCTTGGCCAGCACCGTGTCCACGCAGGGCCGCAGCGGGTGGCTGCCGCTGATCGCCTCCGAAGCCAGCTGCAACGACTGGCGGCGAAAACATACGGAGACAGAGGGGTCAGGTGAAAGTGCAAAAGGATTGGGTACCTATGTGTGGAAAAGGAGAAATTGTCACTGACGTTAGATGGGTAAAAGGTGCAAATCAAGATAATTCTGAATGGCTTTATGGGATTTGTGGCCAATGACGAATCCTCAAATACGACACACTAAAACATTAGAGACACTACAAAAGCAGCGAGAAAACCAAGATACATTGGTGCTTACCAGCTATGTGAAACTGCACAGCCCTAAAGACTTCCGGCTGTCCGAAGGAGAATTTACCCTTGCATCCCACCTCACTAATGATTGTCGTAAATGGCACGGCATCCAAAGCTCAACAATACACGATGTAGGACAAGCAGTTATTGCTTCGTTTCGTTTCCAAGAAAATATTTGGGCTCCTGAAGCTAATTATCACCAAATTTGGATGGTTTCTTCACTCATCCGTGAACAAAACAAAAAAGAAAATTAACGGTACAAACATGAAATGCCAAACGTCGCAACTAAGTCCCATTGTTGACGGTAAATTTCAACACCGACGCAAACCTGCAGAACCGGTTGAAACATGAAACATCGCAGCGTAATGCGAACAATAAAACTCTCACTCAGGGTTACCTTATCTAGTTAGTTAAAGGTCGACGTTCTGTCGACGGGACGAGAGTCTATGTCCCGTTCTAAAGGACCACGGTATTCAAGAATATCCGTCAATAAAAACAAAGCTAAGCGAGCAGCGATAATAGAAGGGATCACAGTAAAAACAATTTAAATATCCAATTAGTAGCACCAATATTAATAATGATTACGGCAATATTGTAGATAAACAGCCGATGAACACTCACATCCAGTACGTCATCGAGGGCCTCCTCTGCCTCGGAGCGTTCGGCGCTCAGTTTGGCCACTCGGAAGTAGCCGTGCCGGAGGCTCCAGCCGCGCTGGGCGGCGTGCCACAGGGCGCGCGGCACCTCCACTAGGGAGTAGCCGAGCAGCAGAACCAGCAGGAATAGGCCCCACGTGTTACTGGCAGACGAGGCGATCAGCTTCAGGTGCGGTCTGCCGGTCACATTGGCGGCGGTTTGGTGAGACACGGTCAGAGGGAGGAGTTGGTCTAGTTAGAGGGTGGAGAGGAGCAGGTCAGATCAGTTCAAAAGGGCAAAACGAAGAAGTAAGGTCAAAAAGTTGAAGTCAGAACCGGTCATGTGGAGAGTGGGTTGGCTTATATTTGGCCCGAGTTTATGTTATATTCAAACCCGATCAAAGGGGAAGAGCAAAACGGAGGTCACACACGGATGGAAAAATGCACACACAGCACGTCAAGAAAGCGTGACGTTCCCCAATTAACGTCAGCCAGAGACTCCCAGACACCGGTTCGTGCGGCACCAAACGTCAATTTTTTATCCGGTTCCCTGTCTTTCTATCATCCCCTCTGTTCCGTTCCTCACCCGTCGACATGGACGCCCGGCTGCGTGCTGATGTAGATCAGCAGAATGATGGCGATGATCAGGTACGACCCGTAATAGATTGCGTTATCCACCAGCGCCGTGCGCAGCTTCCCCTTGACGGTGAAGTCGCCTGCCTGGGTGTACGACTGCGTCATCGGCATGATGAGCCAGGTGAGCGCCTGCGAGGTCCAGTAGACCACGCGCCACAGGTCGATCATCACTGCCTCGGATACGTAGCTCCAGGGCCGCTCGCACGGTGTCGGCTCCGGGGAGGGGCCGGCCGTGATCGGCGCGTCACTCGAGGAGCCGAAAAAGGCGACTGTGGATGGCACTGCCGTGGTGACGCTGGTGTTGGCGCTGGTGACGGTGGTGATGGTGACGTTGTCCGGCAGAATGGTGTCGTTGGACGGCGGTGCCACGGTAGTGGTGCTCACAGGCAGATCGTGATCACGGACACATTTGTTGTACGCCGTCTGCAACGGACGAACAGAGTCTTGTTAATGCAATGGAATTGTATTAAACTGAACAAATAAATGTTAATAAAACAAACACGTAAAGAAAAATGCAGACGACTTGAAACAGGAGATTCACAGCCACCAAATTACTCGGAAACAAACGAAAATGTCACAAAATGAATAATCTTACAAACCATCGTAACTACTGGGGATTCTAAGCCGTCGAAAAACCGTTTTTACGTGACATACGCAGTTGTTTTACGATCATCCAACGAAACATGTCCACTGGTCTACCCTTCACTGGCCAGTGGCCAGCACTTCATTTAACAGAAACTAAGGCACACTTGCCGCCAACCGCCGTCCCCTCTCCACTCCCCACCCTGCTCGCGCTCGTTTCCTCACCCTGGACACGTCCATGGGGATGACGAAGACGATGATGAGTGAGAAGTACCAGGCGATCAGCACCGAGATCGTGACGAACACGTGGTGGTTACGCCAGTCGCCGTACCGATACAGCAGCGCGGCCGCCACGCAGAAGGTGGCGACAATCTCCACTGACAGCGGGCCCGCTGTCATCGTGATGGTTTGGTATTGATGGACTTCTGCTAGATATCACTGACTCAGCACTGGGGATTTACCTACACTGTGGAGCGATTACGGCTACAAAGTGCACTGATCTCAGAAAGTTTGCAGTCCACTGAGTTGCCTGTGTCACTTCTTGGGTTTAAGTAGTTCAGTGTGCCAGATGTGCGTTTCACATGCAGTGACCAATAATTCACTCAGTGTCTCTGATATAATGCACACGCTGTCCCGGCCAAAATTACTAAATTACCTTCAATAAATGTACAGAACTAATATGTCAATGTCCCATCAATCTGTAGCTTAGTTCTTGGCTAGAATGGCTCCACAGGTTTTCACTCCAGGTCCCACTTATTGCCCAATGTTTCTCTACACTGGCCCTCGACACAGTAGCAGTATGTCAAAGTTTAGTCAAGCTCAACTCCGCTGTAGTCTGATCTCTGCGTGGGACTGGCAGCAAGTTGCGGTGACGTGGTGCAGTTCAGTTCCGGCCAGCGGAGGTTGGCTGTCGCGCCTGGTCACGGGCCTTCTGGTCCGCCTCTCGCTGCATCTGTTCCATCTTCTCCAGCGTCACAGACTTGAGTGGCAGCAGTTTGGGCTTGCAGAGCACCATGCTCGGAGCATCCTCAGAATGCAGCAGACCCTGGCGGGGCAGCACCTCCCTGAGACGTCCACTGCCACTGTCCGCCATCACAGCTCACGGGCAGTCAGACACAGCAGAGACCAGGTCACCACGGGACTGCAGCTGGAACAGGCACAGAAAGTTACAGATGGAAACACTGCCAAAAGCCAACTGATTTTACCTGGCGGCTGGCACTCAAAACCAGCCATAGGTGGGCACGATCCGTTCCTCCGTTCCTCCGTTCCGGAACGCCGTTACAATTTTTAGGAACGGAGGAACGGACTCGTTACATTTTAAAAAGGGTAACGGACCAAGTAACTTCCGTTACATTGGTTGTTCGTTCCTCCGTTACAAGTTAACAGTTTAGTCCGTTCCTTCGTTCCTCCGTTACTTTTCGTTGTCCGAGCGGGTTGATCTTTCAGCTAACCCACAGACATTAATGCAGCAGCGGAATAGTGGATTATTGAGCAGCCCTGACTTGAAGACGGAAGATGGCCTCAGTGTACACTGTACAGTGTACTGGCCTTCCGCAATGAGCCGGCGTTGCAGTATGTGTTCGCAAAGTTCAACACGGGCGTCCCTTCAAGCGCCTCAGTAGAGCGCATGTTCTCAATGGGAAAAGATGTGCTACGTGCAAAAAGGGCTACCCTCTCAGAAAGTGGCAGCGGAACATCTTCAATTAAAGGGACTATCCCACATTTAACATGGGGTTTGAGTTGAGATAGCCAAGTTTGCGGCGAGGTTCAGAAACCACTATCTATCTAGGTTGCAACCCCCGCGGCCTCCTGGTGTTGAAGAAATTCGTTCCCTTCATTTGAAAATGGGCCTTGTACAAGGCCCTATCTTCAACATGGAGCGACCGTTAGTGAGACGTCACCTCGTTTAGTCATTCTGATTTAAATGGGTTTGTTCGTTGAAAAATCGCTTAAAACTTGGTCTGAACTTTGTTGTGGTGCCTACAGAGTAAAAAGAATCAGCTTTATGACAGTAATGTGGCCTGGGGAAGGAGGTAATTTTGGGCTGTGACGTCACATATTTGAAAGTTTGTGTTTGGAATATGGGAAGCCTAAGATGTTTAATGAAAAATAAATGCCAGAACCGTGTTCCTGGTCATCCAATCTATAAAGTCGGGCACAATTTAACTGGTTTTAACAACATTTTAGAAGGTGGGATAGTCCCTTTAACCCTCGCACGACCAGGCCATTTCTCATAACACGAACGACCAGGGGGGGGGGGGTTGTTACGACCCCCCCTGGCGTTTCGAAACGGAAGGTCGTAGAGCTTAGCGGAAAAACCAACGGATTGCTCTCAACGAGATCTCGCGATTGGTGGTATATTTTTTGGTCCTAGGTCAACATTTGACCTACTTATGACCGGTCAAAGGTCAAATTTTCCGAAAAAATCAAACTTTTTCGACTTTCCGCGGCGATTGCGGCAAAACGGTGGGAGATATCGACTTGAAACCTTCACTAACTATCGTGTTCCTTGATCAATTCTCTATCGTTTGGTATGTATTTCGTTTCCCTAGCTCTAAAAATGGCGCGTTGGGAGCGCCGGAAGTCGGCAAGGTCACAGTCGGCGGCAGAAATTCGAAAAATCAAAATTTAAATTTTTGAAATCTGATTGTATTTTTGGATTTGGGAGGTCCATTTGCTCCCTATAGAAGCTAATATTGCTGCATATTCCCATTGAGGTGACAAGAATTAGCAAAATAGTGGTTCGGGCGCTTTTCAAAAATAGTACCGGACGCTGTTCCTCTTGTGACGTCATAGCTCCGTGACCTGACCTGACCCGGTCAATTTTCTTGCACCACACGATAGCCAATGCTTGCCCCAACATGCATGGGAAGTTTCATCATGATCCATCAAACAATGTGGGTATCACCGGCAGAAAACCTAGGGATTCGGCGCACACGTTTGGTAACTGTCGGCCGGAGGCTGTACCTCTTATGACGTCATAACTCCGTGATCTGACATGACCCGATCAATTTTTTTTCGGCAAAAGATGCGAAAAGGTTGCCCCAGAGGGTATTGAAAATTTCAGCCCGCTACGACAAGCCGTTTAGCGTGCACTTCGAAAAAACCTCAGGGGGGGGGGGGTTGATACAACCCCCCCCCCCCCTAGGCGTTCTAGGGTTAAGGGAGAGGGGGGGGGCACTGCCGACTTTTTGTCCCATTCTTTCCATGCAACGCACATAGGGCTAATGTTAAAATGCCAAAATCAAAGGGGGCACGGTGCGCCGGTGCCCCCCCCCCCCCCCCCGTTCCGCCGCCTATGCTCTCAGATGCCAACCTGGAACGTCTAGTGTTCGTGAAGTGCAACCGGCATCTGGCCGGGGACAAGTGATGCGCATCAGTACCACCAGACGTTCCAAGGTTTAGTGTCCAATCAGTGCCCACTGTCTTGGTAGATTTGGTGGGCATTCCGCTTTCTCGGTAGGTTTAGTTGGGTCAGAATGGTCTCAAAAATGTTTGAAATACCCAACATTTTAACGTTTTTTATTTTGCTGTAACGGAGTAACGGACTAAAAGAACTTACGTTACATTATATACAGAGGAACGGAGGAACGAGTAACGGAAGTCACGTTTTGAGGGAACGGAGGAACGAGTAACGAAGTTACAATTTTGGGGAACGGTGCCCACCTATGAAACCAGCACACCAACAGCCTCGGTAGTTTACTGTGTAACTTAAATCTTAAGTGTATCAAAGAAGTTTACAAACAAAATTATGTCTCAGTTGTCTTCATCTTAACAGGAAAAAAGAAAATCAAAAAGATAAACACAGATGCTATGTGTGTTTTGGAATTGGTGTCAATTCATTGACTGTATTGAGCGTGGCTGAGGAGTCAATGGATTTTAGGGTGACTCAGAGTCCAGCTCCAGCTTGAAAAGTCAACTCTGACTCCAACTCTGACTCTGGACAGTTCTATTAAAATCCATATCATGGTATTGAAGTTAAAGGGACACTCCCACCTTAACATTAGTTTTGAGTTGAGATAGCCAAATTGGTGGCCATGGCCTGCAGATACCGGTTTGGGCACTCACAACATCGACAAATGCTTTAATTCGGAGATATGGAATTTCAAACTTGCAGTTTTCGGATTCTAAGGGGCTAGTGCATTGGTATGCCCCCTTAGAATTTGTGACGTCAGTGGAGATCTAACGATTTTAAAATCTTTTACTAAAACGTTTGGTAGCACGTGGTGGTATATGCTGCTTTGCGCGCAACAAATGCCGCATTTTCAAATAAAGTCGCTAGGAACAGCGGAGATCCCAAAAAGTAAACAAAAGTAAAAGTCTAATATCTTGAAAACCGGTGAATATTTTTCGATGAAATTTGGTAGATATTCGTTTTCGCTCTTTCTGAACCGAGCAACATCACTTGCGTGCCAATTCATTAACTTTTTGAAGGTGGGAGGGTCCCTTTAATAATGAATGGAGACGTTTTATCTTGCCTGAAACAATCCCTTGCGTGTTCCAAGGCTTTACGTTGCAAATATGCATTAAAAATAACATGCAGAATCAAAAAGCAGGTTCTGGGGAATTCAGCGTCTTCTGCTTCTTTCTTGTTCTCTGAAAACGTTCTTTCAAAACAGCGAAATGGCCTTTTCTGACAATTTCTAATTTTGAGCGCAGTATCATCAATCAAACAGGTGCAGTGCATGACGTTGAGCCATGCAGCGTTAACTCCCACTCGACTCTGGATTCAGAGTCAGTATTTTTTTTGGTGACTGACTCTGATTCCACGCAGAACTGTTGACTCTGACTCTGACTCCAACTCTGACTCTGCAGCCCTGGTATTGATAATTGACTATTGAGTATTGAGAACTGTTTCTTGTGAGTTGTGGATATATTTTGACCGATTTTGTAATTTTGTATTGCTAGGAAATGAAACCAAAGGAAAAAATGAGGCATATACTGAACCTTTTAAAGGGAAACCTATGATTACACATCTTGCAATGGCAGGAAGGTTGCGCCTATGTTCAAGTGCTACTTTTTACTTAATTATCACATCAAGCCAACTGCCAAGTTTCTGAGTCAGACTTGAAAGTAAAAGAATACCTGTTTGATCGGAATTTTAATACCTATCAAACAAATAATGGTAATTGGTAACAAGATGAATTGAGAAATTACCTACGTGTCCAGCCCTATGCCGTTCTGACACAAATAAACCCAATGCCATTAAAATACAATAAATCGAAAATACAGCAATTATCCCAGCTATGGTAGGTAGGTAATGTATTCAATAAACAACAGAAATATGCCAATGCCGATCAATTTTAGCTGCGCATCTTTTGTCATATTAGCGCAGCTTATGCGATTCGAGGTGACTGTGAGGAAAGCGACCACTAAATCATACAAGCCAGCAAACTTATGTTAATCAGCAAAAGGTGGCGCTGGTTTTCACCGAGACATGAGGGCATCTACAAGTTTTTGGGCCCTTTACACTCTGAAAAATAGCCGAATAAGTAATTTACCTATGCTAGTAAAGATTAAAAACATAAAAGGCCAGTATATCAGGATATGGCTGACTGGTCAACGTGCGGTGCACTGCCCGAACCCCGACGTCTCTCCCGGGTCGTCATCCATATGGCGGTCCCGGGTCTGTGTTTAGAGTCCAGGCCTTCCGTATATGGACAAGCATACGTCACAACTGAGTAACTTACAGCGACTGAAGTGAAGAAGGCCCCGCGCCGGTGTACCTAACAGTCGCCAGTCAAACGTAAACCGTTACCCACTGGGTCGGGTGTCATCCTTCGAGATTGATATTCAGCATTCACACGATGGAACAAGCTCGATAAATAAGCTCTTTAGCCAGTCAGTAACGGAGCCCGTGATGAGCAGCTGCGCCCGGTTGACGAGTTTGCGAGGTGTCCGTCGATGCACCTGCTGTTGTAGGTATAACTGTTCGCTAGCAAAAGACGCACCATGAAGGCATCTCTCCGGCGGTGGCTTCTATGTGTCACAAAAGCACTAGGCCAACCAGAAATGGTGCTTTCGTGACGTGCTGGGTAAATGCCATGTTCTGGTCGTAGTCGAGTCATCAATCGGTCAATCACCCGCCAATAGGTATGGTCAGGCGGGGGCCGGCTTCTGCCGTTTACCAAAGTAGTCAATCCAAGGCCACTGTCAGGTCACGATTTTTTTAGTTTTTAATATAAATTTAGCTTGAATGTTTGAGTGAACGATTACTCATTAAGTCAATTTTTGTCACCTCTGGGTCACCAGTGGCCAGTGGGTCACCATCGGTCACCACTGACTACCGAGTCACTATTGGGTCACCATGGGGCTACCACTATGTCGCCGCCATGCAGGTCAGCTGGTGACCTCAGCGCGGTGACACAGCGTCCCGCGCTGGGTCATCAGTGACACCCGGCACCGGCTCGGGTCAGACTCACGGGTCACGAGTGCCAGGTGGCCACCGCCCACGGTCGGACCTGCCGACACGGCTCTTAGAAGTCGGCGCGGCACTGCGGACAGGCGATGGAGAGTGGGGACGACCGTTTTATTCCATACAGACGGCGGAAAGCGGGTGTCTGTTGACTTGGGTCTTGGCAGTTGACTAGTCAAAATGTGCCTAATCAGCTATTGGGACGCGACATGAAACCTCTTAGGCTTGAATTTGATATTGCCTATGCGGGTAAATAAACTATGATACGGACTATCTACAGGAAAAAATTTATGTTCTTAAGGGTGGATACCTAATCAGCTTATTATCTGTAGCTTTTGAGTACGATATTCGGCGTTGCTGTGATCCGTCAAGTGCCAGCTTCGTAAATGCTTCAGTTATTCGTAAAATCGCTCGTTGAAAAAGGGAAGCACGATTGATATTGAAGGAACTAAGTGGACTTTTTAGTAACGGTGTCATTCTAACCAGTTCAACTGATTAACAAGAATATCACACATAATTCTTCACTTGTTGAAAGCCTAATGAATCAGATACATTTTAATGTCAGTTTTGTTCACATGCCGATTACCTATCTGTCTGAACAGCATCTGTGATCGCATGGCCGAGGCACTACACCCCATGGGAGCTAACGGACCCGAAGTAACACCAGCAGCAGTGGGCGGGGAACCGTAACCGGTACGTTCCCTTATTCCATTGCGCGTCTCGATGCTGTCTGCCAAGCCCCAAGGCCCTATGTCCGGCTGTCGAGCGGTCTTTAATCTGCCTATGGCCCTTTTGTCCATCCGACGAACGATCTTTAGTGTGTTCAAGGCTCCATGTCCACTTATGACAGTCTGGTGCTTAGTGATGGAGAATTCGGTCTTACCCCTAATGAGATAGCGTGAGATCAAACGCGTTAGTGCAGCTGCCCTATATTTGATAACCGTGCCATGTCGCAAGTCGCTACAGCTGATGTGCATATGCGCTTAATTTCACTTAAGCGCAATGCGACACGCAAAGTAGAGCACTTCATGGGCCGGATAAATCCGTTATCCACGGATAAATCCGCGGACCGGATAGGATTGGATTCTAAATTTGTTAAAAAAGAACGGATATGGGCGGGCCGGATTTGGGAATTGAAGGTTGAACCCGGATCAAAACGGATCAAAATTTTAACATTCAACATTGAAGTTAAAAATTAACCTAATGTGCTAAGCGGCAGCGGAGGTTTGATTAAAATAATAGGCATCATTTTATGACACTCACTTGTCACAAGACTTGTATGGCTGTCTGGTCCCTTAGATTGAATTTGTTAGTCCAGTTTTGGGTGAAACCAGTTATTGGTGAAACGGATTTTTTGGAAGTTTGGCTGCAATACGGGCCATGGGTGGGCCGGATTCTGATATTCAAAGAAAGGCGGATAATGGGCGGATCTGGATATGACTTGCCGGATATGGGCCGGGCCGGATCCTAAAAAGCCTATCCGTGAAGTGCTCTAACGCAAAGCACTGGACAAATCTGACGTTCATGAACAGTGGGTAAATAGCCGTTGGTCATATCAGGAATGAACGATCAAAAGCACCGAAAGGCATGCATACATACATTGCAACAAACTACTGCTGTTATGCAGAAAGTGGCCATTCGACGGGCTAATTTCACCCGTATAGGCACCGCTTCGTTAACCGCGGTGCATATGCATCACCCGTGGCAGAATGGCCCTTTGAGGAACGACTAGGAGGAATAAATGCACATTCTCAGGCTCAATGCCACTCGTGCTGTTTTCTTCTCTGTCGGAGGAGAACGCACCGCGCGTTACCTACAGTCACACACTTGTTTGAAAAAAAAACTTCATTACAGCGCCTACAGCGGGATTCATTGCCACCAGAATTGAGTCATGGGAATAGCTAAGTTCTAGATTCCTTATATTACTTGATTTATAATTTCAAATTTAATCATTAACCCTCGCCGGACCTATTGGTTTTCTACATACGCGCCGGCCGAGGGGGGGGGGCGGGTACGACCCCCCCCCCCTCGCCGTTTCGCCCCTGGTGGAGCTAGCGCGTCGCGGAAAAAACGAGCGTGTGCACCGTTACGAGACGCAGAGATTGGTACCCGATTTTAAGGTCCTAGGTCAACCGGTGACCTCTGAGATCAGGTCAAGTGCCCCAAGGTACGGTTCAGTTTTTGGTGAATAACTTCGCAAAAAACGGCCGCAGAGCGCCGATTTTGGCAGCATCGTTTTCGTCTCGCTCAGGCGCGTCGAATGATATACTTTTTGTCCGGGTCAGGTCAACTTGGGGTGTTGACCTCAGGTCAAGGTCAGATCAGCACCCCCAGGTCACGAAGTTGGTCGAAAGAGGTCATGTCGCATATCATTCGATTCGGCAGGTCTTCCTGAGTCTATTGGTGGCTTTCCCGACTCGCTAGCTCAATTTGATCAAGAGTTATTGACGAAAAACTAATATGACCTTGATGACGTCATAAATGACGTCACGCAAGGTCAACATTGCAAAAGTGACGCATCTAACCTTGCAAGGAGTGCATAAAATCACGATTCTGTGTGCTTGAGATAGTTGGAGATCGTTCCCGGCGCCAGAATAGCAGTTTTCATTTTTCCCCATTGACTTATAATGGTGAGGTCACGAAAATGACCTGACCTCATATGACCTTTAGGAAAAATCAGAGATATACAAGTTGTGGGACTCATAATGGATACTAGATCCTGCAAGTTTCATTTCCCTGTGACATCTCCTCTGGCAGTGAGGGCGTTGCGAAGTTGCGACATCTGAAGACCGTGCAGAGGTTAACTTATGACGTCATAGGTCAGTGAACTGACCTGACCCAAAAATGCGGTTGGTGTCAAAAGATGCGGCTTGGATCAAAGGTCAGGTATGCCAAGTTTCAGCTCTCTATCGCCAGCGTGTTCGGAGCTATCGCGAAAAAAAACCCTATGGGGGGCGGCACCCGCCCCCCCCCCCTCGGCCGGCGAGGGTTAAGTCAACACAGCTAAATGCGTACCTTTATCTCGCCTAAGGGGCACTTCCCTACAATATCGTAAAACAATTTAATTATCAAGCTAGCCTAATTAGGAAAGCCGCTTGATGATTTTTTCGCTGAGCAGTTTTCAGTTTTTATCCCGTAAGACCATTTTTCTTATACAATATACATGTAGTATCACATATTTGTCATTAACCGAATCATTAGCTATATTGAAAAATCTTAAATTTGTTTGCCAATATTAAAAGGTTTCATGATTTTATTGGATATTCCCGACTCCACATGGCCTTACACTGATCGCAGAACAAACAATAACGTTAAAATGTCAAGGTCATCATCAAGCTTATACTCACTAAATATCTCACCAAATGAGACGACCGCGTAGTTCACTTGATCATTGCGCGTCGGTCAATTATCATATCGAAACTGTCCTTTGTGAGAGATACTATTGCTGATACGAAATGTAGTAATGCAGAAAAGTTTTATATGGTACAACGTTTCTTTGAGCATGATTGTAGGTAATCAATAAAAATGGCATAATTGACCTTATGGTATAATTGGTATGATTGAGATGGGAACTGGGGAACTTGAACTTGGACTTTGACTTTGGTTTTGGAACTGGTCATAGTGTTAACAATATATCTGTTATATTTCATGCCTGATATTCAACTAACGGCCATGTCTACATTTGGTATAATTGGTATAATTGGACCTTTTTTTAATTAATTTATCCGATATTATGAGCATAAGGTCAATTATACCATTTTTAATGCAGAAAAGCTTTAGGTGAACTTTTACATCCGGGTATCGCCGGAAATGGAAAGATTCGTAAGGCCGTTTGGCACTCGCTTACCGCCCTC